CATTGATCAATAAGACAGGAGAAATAGAATATACAGGGATAACCCTCATTCCTATCAGCGTGAAATGACATTCATTCAATCAGTCCTCTCCTCCGCTCTCTCTGTCCCTGGCTTCTACTTTCACATACCTTATGGCCTCAGTCATTGACTTTACCCCTTCCGCTCCTCCATTTAACAAGCAATTTAGTGGTTGTTCACTCATGAACGAAGCTATTAGGACACAGGTTTTGATAGCGTTTCCTCAAACACTCATCCTAACACAATAGAAAACAAAAATCTCATAAACCTAAAACGACTATGAGATTCTATACAACTATGAGAAAGTTATTTACACTGGTTTGGATGATACAATGAAGTAAAATGTACAATAAATCATTGCAATCAAAGCTAATTGGACAATCATAGATGGTAAAAACCATGATGTATAGTCCATAATATACTACAAAACAAAGAGGCTTCAATTCACCGATGAATTTTTCTGCCACTAATTTCTACAGATTGACCATCATCAACGGATTTTCTTGGGAACGATCTGTCAGGTTCAAGATTGATCTCTGATAACGGATCAGACCGTGCTCGCCAAAATCGCTGTAGTCTTCAATAAAAGTCAACATCAAATGAAAGATCATGAAGACTAGGACAATCTTGTTGATTTTGATTGGCGTCAAAGAGTTGATCGAGATCATCAATTATAGCTCCAACATTCACAACTTCAAGAGCAACAGGATGAACAACATCAACATTATCATTACCAGCAGCATTTTCATCAGTCTGAGTTGCCGAGTCTGATACAGTATCTTTCGAGGTTGAAGAAGCTGTGGAAGTACTATCAGTAGAAGTATATTGCCGATCAGAGTCTTTTTCCAGATGAATTTTTTCATCGATGAAGTCTCATTTGCTTTGTAATAGTAGTTTAGTGAAATCCTTACATAATATTTATTAGTAACCCACTAATAAGTGCATTTTTAATTTATATATTTATAATAGGCATATATATATATATATATATATATATATATATATATATATAGGAGTGATCATATGAAAACCGCCCTCATTTGTGTAAACCATGCAAACCACCTTCATCTGT